GAATTCACCACAGGGCAGCCTCAGGCCCTCACGTCCAGCACAGCTCTCGGCAAGGTGATGACAGCGGCCTCATGCACTGAGAGGTACAGCGTCAGGGCTCAACAAATACTTGCTGAATCCTGCAGTTGAGTGAAGATATGATAACATGGAGTGAGCTGCCACAATAGGAATGGAACCCAAGGTCCTGGCTGGTATGTCCAGCCCTAAGCTCAGCTCTTTACACCCCAGGGCAGGTGTCAGTGTCCTGCCCTTGAAGACGAGGAGCTGGTGGCCCAGCAGCATTAAGTGTTTTCCTAAGGCCACACAGCTGAGGTCACACGTGGGTCCCTCCTGGGAATGTGGAGGCAGCACACCTCAAGGGCTCAGTGAGTGCGCCCGGAACCCATGGCAGAGCCTGGGGACAGGGCACCTCTGTTCTTTAGTCTTCGTTTGCACATCTCAGCTTTTGGGAGCGGGAAGCTAGAAAATATGCTTTTAATAGATGCTTTATAAAAAGTAACTATTCATTCTCTTCTTAAATGAATCAAAGCTTTGGTTTTAGAGTAACTTAATGAACGCATTTTAACAGGACAGTTCAAAACTCAACACCGAAGGTAAAAATCTTACTTTGATCCCCGGTTCATGCCTTTTAAAACTCAATCAGTCCCACCACAACAATGTCTTTTAGAAGCAATCTGGGCCTCTCTGTGGATGTCTGAGACCCCTCTTTCCTTGCTGACTCAGAGGGACATACCCAAACAAGATACTGGCCAAAGAAAGCACCCCTGGCTTGACCCAGCAATGCCAAAGCATGAGAACCATGTGGTCACTTGAGGTGTGACATAAACAGAACCAGCATTCCAAACATGGGGCAAAGCGGGCTCAGGTGCCCGTGGCAGGAAAACTGCAGGCGGCAGTGCCCGCAACAGGAGACAGAAACCGAATCGGGGCAGAAGAGTAGTGACCAGTTAGCCTTGCTCTCAGGACACTTTGGAGATGTTTGGAGGTAAGAGATCAGACAGAGCATGTGCCTGGTGGGGTGCTGTGCTCTACCCTAGACGGGGTGAGAGTGAGTGTTGGCGGGAAGGTTATATGCAAACAGCAGGCGTATCAGCACGATTTACATTGGGGATCATGCCCAACGGTCTCTAACTCTCCACATTTATCTCCAGGATTCAAGAAAAGAAAGTCCTTCAGAACATCCTGAGATGTGTCCCTGTCCACCTGTGGAAACAGGAGACCCCCCGGTGCTCTCAGGGCTGCTGCTCTGCCCTCAACCGCAACTCCAATGCCACCTCCCCAAAGGGCCTCCTGACCACACCCCACCGGGACAGTGATGGTCACTCAGCCCAGCGGAGGTGCAGCGTAAGCCCTGCTTTCTCCTTTGCTGACGCACGTCCTGACTTCAGAGTGACTGCCCAGGCACCCGCTTCCAGGAAGGCCGCCTGCTCTGAGCGCATCACAGCCCTGATGGGAGCCAGGCTGCCTCCCCGTGGCGCTCTGGTCTCAGAGGCCTTGGATGATTTCCACACTGACCATTTGGGCTACTTGGGGTTTTTTTCTTCCCATGATTTAATATTTCCACTCTTAAGTTTTAAATTCACCATTAAAGAGTGAGCCCTCAAAGCCCTAGGCCCCCACCCCTGACCTAACCAAGGGCAGGACCCAGGCCTATGCGCTCCCTCTCACCTAAGACCTCACTGTGTATACTAAGCCTTGTCTCTTCAGTTTCCTGATGGTTGTTGCTGAAGGGTAACTTGTAATCACAGTAAGAACCACAGGGGCTGGTCCAGCTACAGCACTGGTTATTGATAGGCTGAGACCAGCACAAAGCAAACCCC